AGGCTTCCTCCGAGACCTGTGAAGCCAACCACCGCTTCTTTTCGAACTGCCGCTCACGCAACGTCACTGGACAGCCGAACGCGCTCGGAGGAAAGCGCCAACCGCCAGATCTGTTACGTCAGCTAACAGACGCCTGCGCTGACTAGCATCGCGCTGAGTGATGGGGGGAGAAGGAGGGGCCATCCTACCCACCCAGAGAGAGCGAGGCCAATTGTGCTTTCTCGGACTCCCGGCTACGGATGGCTGTAGCATCACCAGGGATTGAACTCGCGATCTCCTGGTGATAGGGCCAACGCTTAGACGGTTGCGGCACTCGGGACTATTTGCGCCACTATTTCTTTGAAAAACTGAAAGCAAGTCTCCTGAAAAAAATGGAAGCTGTGAATAAAGGTTCCTAATGGCCATTTTGACTGGAAATTAGCAGGTGTGTCATATGTACCTTTGGCGTTACTTGTATTGCCTTTACAGCTTTCTTCAGCTACAGCTTTTTGAGATATCGATGAGTTCATGTGTAAAGTACTGCTAATGGTTTGTAGCTTGTGCCTTCCATTGTGAAACAAAATATACTTAAACTTGTAGTAATTCTTCATGTTTTACAACTGACTCTTCAGCAGATGTCATTGCGGTTCATCATGTCCAGAGGTTCACATTTTCAAAGCTCACTGAAGCCTTAAACATACTTTGTGTAGAAGTTTGACCTAAAGAATGCATCTTGCTCATAGCATGGCTCTCTCGACAGTGAAAATGTTTTAGCTGCAGACCCTTGCGCAGAGTTTTTACTGAACTCTCTCTCGACAAATCAATCTGGTGTGTAAGGAGTCAGGATGTGGGTGGTATCTTGCAGAATGCACTAGCGTTATGGGCTTTGGTGGTTTGAAAATGTGAATAAACAGCTACATTTAAGTAGTTGAAAAAGCGCCTAATCACTTCAGAAGCTAATGCTGGGTTTCCTCCGGCATTTTGGAGGCAAAATGTGCTGTTTTGCAGAATAAAGTAGCGTTTCGGGTGAGTTGTGTTTGAAACTTACAACTGTGTATGGCGAGAAAAAAACCCACAGATTTTTTGCACGACTCTTTTAGCCTGTTTTATCTAATAAGAAACCATCTGTGGCATCAGAAGGTCAGAACAACAGCCCACTCGTAAATCTTTAGCAGTGATTGTTTGAAGCAGTGACATGTCTGATTAAATTTAACAGCCCAATTAAAAGTGCCAGAACCACTTAACTTCATGCCAGGAGCAGACTGTTTTGACGCGGTTGGGTTGAACGCGGTCAGGTTGGGTAAAACGTCCAGTAAAGCCACTGGATGACTGAGTGCTTTTAGTCACATTGTCACACTGTGCATGACCGCTGGCTTCAGCTAAACAATACAGAATAACATCAATAATAGCCATTTTAATGCTGCTTTTACGTATTGGTAATAGACGATTGACGGCAAACTGGATATTCCACTGTTTCTGCCACCACCAGCGGCAACCTTCCACAGACTGCACTGATAAGTGGAACATTCCATTGAGAGTTTGATCTTCCCAACTTTTGCTATTGACCACAGTAATAAACTGAATTTTTGTTTTGGTTGCCAAACTTCTCGGCGCTCCAGTACAACAAAGACAGATTTTCCTTTTGTCTTATTCCATCTTAAAGTAACAATCTACACTGCTAAAGCTCTGCTCTGATAATCATCCATTTTCACCAGTAACACTGTCACCACGCCAATATTTGCCTGGCTTCATGCCACCATCGGTCGCGCACTGCTGAGAGGTGCAGAATGATGTTTTTTTAATGCGTTGACGTGAACAAAGCATAAGAAACTGTCATTGTCGGGGAACAGTCAGTGATTTAGAGCATTGCAGTAGGAAAGTCAGTTTAACTCTTAAAAGTCTTGCTCCTTTGCTATTGCAACATATTAGTAATTAATCATAATCATTATATATTGCTATATAGTTTTATTGTGAATTACCTACATACCATTTCATTTCTCTACAGACTGGTTTGAGTGTGCATATCGTTTCAATGTCAAAAAATGATATATATGGCAAAATGTACACTCTACAAACAACATTAACTGAATGTAATTGATCCTAATCACCACGTTGTTTGTTCTGAGACCTCCCCCTGACTGTGATTGGCCTAATCATTGTCTTGTTCGTTCTGAGACCTCTCCCTGACTGTGATTGGTCCTAATAACTGCATTGTTTGTTCTGAGACCTCATCTGACTGTGATTGGTCCTAATCACCATGTTGTTTGTTCTGAGACCTCATCTGACTGTGATTGGTCCCAATAACCACCCTGTTTGTTCTGAGGCCTCCCTCTGACTGTGATTGTTCATAATTACTGCACTATTTGTTTAGAGAACTGTTCCTGACTGTGATTGGTCCTAATAACTGCCTTGTTTGTTCTGAGACCTCCCTCTGACTGTGATTAGTCCTACTCACCATGCTGTTCATTTTGAGACCGACTGTGACTGGCCCTAATCACTGCAGTGTTTGTTTTAAGACCTCCCCCAGACTGTGATTAGTCCTAATCACCATGCTGTTCATTCTGAGACTTTCCCCAGACTGTGATTAGCCCTAGTCACCATGTTGTTCATTCTGAGACCTCCCCCCTGACTGCAATCGGTTCTATATATAGTGCCATTTATTCTGAGATGTCCCTATGA